TTTTCGGAGTGATGGAAATGTTCTAAAATTGATTGTGGTGATGGTTGCGAATCTTTATCAATATACTAAAACTTCGAAATGGTACACTTTCAATGGGTGAATCAAATAGTATGATATGTGAATATATCTAAAAGCTGTTAAACAGGTAAAACATTAAAATATTTTAGTTAAGAAAAGGAGATAACAATAGTGGTATGAGGTCTAAATGAGTCTTTGTTCTCCTAATACCTCATGCCACTCCCCCTCACCCAACACACACGATTATTTATCACCCCAAATCATCGCTGTGAATGCTTTTGTCTTGCCCACTGAGGTGAGAGCCCTCTGATAACAGAAACGTTTTTTAAATGTATTTTTATTTCTTTCAGAAGGGAAGGGAGAGGGAGAGAGAGATAGAAACATCAATAAGAGAGAATAATTGATCGGCTGCCTCCTGCACGCCCCCTACTGGGGATTCAGCCCACAAGCCAGGCATGTGCCCTGACTGGGAATCAAACCATGACCCCCTGGTTCATAGGTTGATGCTCAACCACTGAACCACGCCAGTGAGGCTGATAACAGAAACTTTCTAATCCACCCAGGGCCGGCTTCCAGGGCATGTGACCTGTGCAACCACACAAGAATCCATCCTCAGAAGGGTCCCACGTTTGCTTTAATACTCTGCTATCACCATCTTGAAATTCTCAATTTTTGAACAAGGTGCAGGTGCCCCTCATTTTATCTCGCACTGAGCCCTGCACATTTTGTAACAGTCCTGGATCCACCTTTGGGCCCCCGCACAGCTCGGCACAGTCCTGATGCTCAGTGGGTGTCCAATCAAGGTTCCTTCTCTTTCCCAGTCCCAGTACTGAGACTTCCCCCAGAACAGTGCCTCGACCTTCAACACAGATCCACCCAGAGCCTCCTGGGTGCCAGGTAATGTGTCAGCAGCTGGGGATACAGGGAGGCGCCAGAGCCACAGCTCAGGTCTCTTCCCCTTCCCAGCAGGGGAGCTGCTGAGAAGGAGGCTGTGCCAGCAGCACAGCTGCCCCCTCCTCACTTACCTCCACAGCCACCACCGCGTGGGACTCATTTCGACTTAGAGACAAATGCATCACCTTGGGATCCTGACTTTGTGAGTTCTGCTTTGTAATAGGAAATAGAAGGCTCTAATGAGTGAGGGTGAGCCTGCAGTTCTTTCCTACAGCGTGAGAGAAAAAGTCGCCTCTGCCTTTCTCAGTATGCTTGCGGTCCATCACATTGACATCTATTATTAAAGAGATCTGTCAGCACCTCTTTTTAAAAATATTTTTTTTATTGATTTCAGAGAGAAAGGAAGAGGGAGATAGAAACATCAGTGATGAGAGAGAATCATTGATCGGCTGCCTCCTGCATGCCCCAAGCTGGGGATCGAGCCCGCAACCCGGGCATGTGCCCTGACAGAATCAAACCGTGACCTCCTGGTTCATAGGTCGACGCTCAACCACCGAGCTATGCCAGTCGGGCTGTCAGCACCTCTTAATTCAATGCAGTTTCTAAGGACAAAACACTATGCTAGGCACTGCTGCTAGGAAGAGAGTAGCTGGGTCTTTTTAAGCGTGTCGCACGAGCTCTTTGGATAAAGATTACAGTGGGCTGCAACTATATGGGGAGTCAGCAGAGAGCAGTAGTTGTTGAAATTCCTGATAGACCTGGCTTCCACTTGATCGATGTGCTTTACTAGGGGCGGGTCCCAGGGGCAATTCCTTAATCTCTGTAGCCTTCAGTTCTCTAATCAGTTAATACAACCCTGGTGTCAAAGGGCTGTTGTAAAGATTAAATGAGATAAAGCATGCACAACAGTGGCACGGTGTCTAGCACTTAGTAGGAAAGTCACACACAAAAAAACTAAACCTAAAAGATCCTATAAAACTGTGCTGTTTTGCCCCCAAATGGCTAAATCGTTCTGTTCCTGGCCCATAGCCACATGTTATAAAATACCTCTGCCTGCAATTCCTATTTCTCCAGCTAGAGGTGAAGGCAAACAGCGCCAGCCAACATCACCTGATGCCGTGACGTGACGTCAGTGAGCTCCGCTTTCTCCCTCTCAGTCTTGGTAGCGAAGCCCACACCTGCTCCCACACCCCAGGCACACAGTGTTGTGCGGGGAGGGCTAGGTGAAGGAGCTGGGATGGGGATGCTGGGAGAAGAGGGTTTGACTTATCTGGCACTTTTTGCTTCTTTAGGACTTGGAGCCACTCCTCCCTAGCACAGCCTGCCCATTGAGCACCTAAGTTGGGCTCTTCCCCAGCCCCAACCCCCATCACTGGACAGTCATGGGAAGTGGCTGCTACCAGGGAGAAGAACCGCATGACCTTGAGCAAGACAGCTTTCTTCAGTGGAGGGAAGGCAATTCTCCAAGAGACACTCATCTGAGAGCTGTCAGCCAACTCTCCCAGCAGGTGGGCGAATGGGTGCCTCAGTCCTGAAGGGGGGACTCTAGGTGGGCAGCTCAGCACAGAATCAATGACAAGAACTAAATGGTAGGAATGGCTGTTCTAAGTTTCAGCCATTCCTAGGAGTGTTGGAATAGGGACGGGCTGGGGGAGGATAGAGGGTATGCCACCTGCCACACTTCATAGTGGATTATGGGGGCAAATGCATTGAAAAGTGGCACAGACTGTGGTTTTATGTGCAGTTAACCAAACTTAGGGTCGATCCCAGCAACAAATTTCTCAGCAGATCACAAAAAGTTCAAAGAATGCCTTGATCATAAAATATTCACCATTTATAAGATTCTGCTTGCTTTATAAAGTCTTCATTGTCATAGAAATATGATGCTTATAGTCAAAATCACAAAACTTGGGCTCTGGAAATAGGACTGGATTGGAGTTCCAGCTCCATGACGTATAATGAGTGACCTTTACTTAGGGACCAGTGTAATGAAGATAATATTACAAACCTCACCGGATTGAGATGATGTCCCCAGCACATACAAATTGCTAAATAATATTTCTTTTTCTTCTTTTCCTTCTCCTCCTCATTATTATTATTTATACGGCATTTCCCTATCTGAGCACAGGAAAAAAAAATGCTGGGTTCTCACTCTTCAACTCCTGCTCTAACAATCCTCATTAATAGTCCATTCTGCAGCATTTTGATGTTCTGCTTAATTTTTAAAGTTTTGCTTTTTATTGAATCTATTGGGGTGTCGTCACACTGGTTAACGAAATTATACAGGTTCCAGGTGCAAAATTCTGCAAGACATCATCTGTACACTGTATTGTGTGTTCACCAACCCAAGTCAAATTCTTGTCCATCACCATTTACCCCCTATACCCTCCCCCACCCCCCGGCCCCGGCCATCACTGCACTGTTGTCTGTGTCCATGATTAACTCATTTGTTTTAGAGAGACAGGCTGTAGTCAGATCATGGTATGCTCAAGGTGCCAGGCTAAGAGATATGGACATATGCTATTGACGGTGGGAGCCACTGAAGGTTTTGGAGCAGATATTATTAGGAAATAAAAGAGAAGAATCAAGATTACTTAGCTGGGAGGGCCTGAAGAACCCCTGAAATTTTGAGTAAATATTTGTGTGAATAGCCATGTGTTTCTTTTTCTGGGGAGAGAGTCCATAACTTTCGTCCACACTCAGTGGTGTCTGAGACTTCACAAAAGGCTAAGAACCACTGTCTCAGCAGTTTCCAGCTTAGATGACCAGCAGCATGGTAGTAGCATCCAAAAGAAAAGGGGTCCCAGGGCAAGAAGTTAGGAGGGGGGTTGGCTGGAGGAGAGTAAAAACGGTCATTTGCCTCTGAGGTCGATCGCTTTCACGATGCTGCTGTAGGTGCATTTTCCAGGGGCACCAGGCACCGGAACCCCTGCCGCCCTCCCGAGACTGCAAGGCCACAGCCACCGGCGCGGGAGTGACCTCCGTCGCAGGCTGGCATTTGAATGACGTTGTCAAGAGAACCAGCCAAGCGGGCCGAGGACAGGTCTTTGAACATATTTGATCTGACTGCTGTGCCTTTTCCAAAGTGCTTTCTGACCGATTATTTTTCTCCGCACAGGAAAGTCACATTTTGAACTTCACTTCCTAAAATACATTCAATCACGCTTCGGCTTCTGAGGAGGGGCCGGAGGGAGGCACATAATGACTGCTTACGTGCTTCGCTTCTCATCTGTGGAAATTATCTTTTCAAAATGACCAAGTGCTCCTGACCCTGTCTGAGAGCAGGTGGGTATTTAGGGGCCACGTTAGGAAGTGTGTAGGATAATTGTCAGCACTCAGACGACCTAGTTCTAGCTGCTGTGGAAATCCTGGCCTCCTGAGGCATGCCTCCTCTCCCTGGAGAGGAGGACGAAGTACCTGTGACCCCTTCCTACGCATGCCAGGAAAGCTACTTAACAATATGTGGGTAGAGAGGTGGTCTTTCCCCAATGATACTCCCTGTTAAGGGTTGAATGGTGTCTCCCTAAAATTCCTATGTTTGAATCCTAAGCCCCTGTACTTCAGATTATGATCTTATTTGCGAACTAGAGGCCCAGGGCACAAAATTCATGCACTGGGGGAGGGGGGTGGCCCCTTAGCCAGGCCTGCGCCCTCTCGGGGGATGTCTGCCTAAGCCAGCAGTTGGACATCCCTCTGCTACATGCCAAGGAACATCAAAGAAATTGCCAGGAAACCCCCAGAAACGAGGAGGGAGGCATGGAGCTGCATCGTCCTCATAGCTGTCAGAAAGAACGAATGCTGCCCTAACTGGTTTAGCTCAGTGGATAGAGCTTCGGCCTGCGGATTCAAGGGTCCCAGGTTCGATTCCGGTCAAGGGCATGTACCTTGGTTGCGGGCACATCCCAGTAGGGAGTGCGCAGGAGGCAGCTGGTCAATGATCTCTCATTGATGTTTCTAACTCTCTATCCCTCTCCCTTCCCCTCTGTAAGAAATCAATAAAATATCTTTTAAAAAAAAGAAAGAAAGAAAGCTAGCTGCCCACACCGTGGTCTCGGACTTCCAGCCTCCAGAACTAGGAGACAGCAGATGTCTGTTGTTGAAACCACCCAGTTTGTGGTACTTTGTTACTGTACTAGTAGCTCTTGAAAACTAATACACTCCCTTTCTCTAGAATTGTAGAGCTGTTCCATTCCACTTCTGGCTAATCCAGTCCTGGTTTCCTGAACTGAGGTCTCAGAGAAGGTGGGCGGGGCTGTGGCGACCTTGTCAATCAAAATGGCTCCTGCAGAGCTTGCCAGGTATGCAGAGCTCATTGGAGGTCAGCAGGGAGAGTGGCTTGGGGACCTCCCACCCTGCCTTAACTGAGGGGATACTCTTTCCTGAGTGTACTGTGGCTTAAGGAAGGGGGGTCCCCACTGTAGTGCTGACTCTCTTCAAGGATCAAAATATTCAACCCCAAGTCTGGAGCATGGATTTTGCTTAACCTGGCTCCTAAAAGTGTTTGTTCTCAGCCTCTCTCTCTCCCCCATCATCAAGCTGTTACAAACTTGTCTTTAGTCACCTGATGACTCGGTTTCCATGGTTACCGACAAACATGCAGCAAAGTGTCATTCCTAGGAGGCCTCAGGATAAAACAAGTAACAAGACCAGGCCTTGGCACAATGAGAATGACCTGGATCCAATGACCAGGATGGAGCACTGAGGGCAACTGGGCCTCAAAAGCAAGCCAGGAGCCCAGTTACAGAGCTGGGCTTAAAGGCAGAGGCGGAGCAGCGCGACTGCTGGATACCGAGCCCTTACTCCGAACTAGGAGACACACCAAGCGCGCCCTGTGATTACCTCCTTTGGTCTTTGTTTTCTGTTTTCTCCAAGACGGAACTGAGCCTAGGTGGCATGTTGAAGATCACACAGCTGCTAGGTACAGAAAGAGCAAGGGTTTGAACCCAGGTGCTAATAATCTCCCATCTATCCCCTCAGATCTGCTCTTCTCCACCCCAGAGGCTGACCTGCATGGGCTGCAATCAACAGCCTCCCTTGTCCCCAGCTCCACTGTGTCTGTTACTGGAGAGCCCAGCAGATAAGGGGGAAGAAAATAGAGGCTGCTTTTGGCTGGCTGTGTTACGGAATGGCTCCTCTCCTTCCCAACCAGTGTGATGGGCCCGTCCTCTTTAACCCCTGCGATCTAAGGTCAGGATGGGTCTCTGAGACCTGGGGCTGCAGGAAAGAGGTGCTGGACCTGCTGTAGGTCCCCAGTGATTATAGGTGTGGGGTGAGGGTCACGGCACAACCTAGAGAATGAAGCAGGATCTGTTACTCACCTGTGAGGACTTTCATGTCTCCCGTGGTCTTTCCTGTCCTGGCAACTCCCCAGTGTTTAGCCAATGCAATTAGTTTAGTTCACTGTACATTTGTTTTCCCACTGATTTTTAGACAGAGTGAAAGGGAGGGAGAGAAGGAGAGAGAGAGAGAGAGACAGAGACAGAGAAGAGAAAGAAGAGAAACAATGATGTGAGAGAGACACATCGATCTGTTGCCTCCCATACTGGAGTATTGGGGCTCAAACCTGCCACCCAGATACATGCCCTTGATCAGGAATCGAATCTGCAACCCTTCAGTGCGCAGGCCAAAGCTCTAACCACTGAGAACACCGGCAGTGGACTCTGTCCCTGCCTTTTGAATCTAGGTGAACTTGTAATTCCTCTGTCCCATAGAGTTCAGAAGAAGTGATAGATATGACTTCTGAGCCTGGGCCATAAAAGATGCTGAGCTTTCTCCGGGGAGCTGGCTCTGTGGGAAGTCCGTCCACGTAAGAAGTCTGACAACCCTGAACCCACCTGCTGGAGAGACCATGTGAAACAGTTCAGGAGGCAGCCCAAGCTGAGCTCCCAGCCAACTGCCCAGCATCAACTGCCAGCCACGTGGATGAGCCAACTTGGACGTCTGGCCCAATCATGCCTTCAGATGACTGCGGTCTCAGCCAACATCTAAATGTAGCCTTGTGAGAGATCCCAAGGCTCACCAGAGCTCCTTAATTTCCTGACTCAGAAAATCACAAGCAAAAGAAAATGATTGTGTTTTGTTTTTTTAATGTTTTTATTGATTTCGGAAAGAGGAAGGGAGAGAGGAATAGAAGCATCAATGATGAGCTGTTCTGACGTGGCTCAGTGGTTGAACATTGACCTATGCACCAGGAGGTCATAGTTCAATTCCCAGTCAGGGTACATGCCTGGATTGTGGGCTCAGTCCCCAGTGTTGGGTGTGCAGGAGGCAGCAGGTCAATGATTCTCTCATTATTGATGTTTCTATCTCTCTCTCCCTCTCCCTTCCTCCCTGAAATAAAAAAGAAAAGAAACATCAATAAGCTATATACATGTAGCTTATTATTTCTATAAGATTGTATCTCACTTAAATTTTTTTTAAAAAATTCAGTTTGTTTTAACAACAAAGAAAGTTCATCTATATCTACCATTCTCCAACTCTAACTCTTGCAACCACCAATCTATTCTCTAAGTCTGTGAGGTTGTTTTTGTTGTTTTGTTTTAGATTCCACAATATAAGCAAGATCATAAGGTATTTGTTTTTCTCTGTCTGACATTTCACTTTGCATAATGCTCTCAAGGTCCATCCACCCAGGCTGTTGCAAATGGCAAGATTTCATTATTTTTTATGACTGAATCTATAATAATAAAAGGGCAATATGCTAATTAGACCAGACGTTTTCCAGACGTCCTTCCTGACTAAGCCAGCCCGGGTCCCAGGTGCCTGCCGGGGGCCAGAGGCAGGAAGCAGCCCAGATCCCGGCAGCCGGGGGAAGGAAGGCCTACTCTTGCACAAATTTTTGTGCATTGAGCCTCTAGTAATATATATAATTTCATTAACTATTCATCCACCTATGGACATTTAGATTGTTTCCATATCTTGACTATTGTAAATAATGCTGCAATAAACATGGGGTGCATATATATTTTCAAATTAGTGTTTTTGTTCTCTTCAGAAGTAGAATTGCTGAATTATATGGTAGTTCTATTTTAAAAAAATTTTTTTTCTGCAAAATGTTTTATTGTTTCCATTTGGTCCAATGCATGGGTGAGGGCTTCAGGGTGGTTTAAAGAATGACTAGTAGTTTGGGGAGAGGCTCAGGCAAAAGCCAGACACCAGGGGGATCCAGAGGGCCCCTCACAGGCCTCTGGGCTCCAAAGGCTCCTGTCCGTGCTTGAGGGTGAGCCTTTCAAACAGGTACTTGCCCAGCTCAGCCTGGGGACCAGCAGCCTCGGGAGGTGAGTCAGGTGTCGCCCATCTTCTTGATGAGTTTCACCTCCTCACCCCGGAAGTGCTTCTGCAGGAAGTCAAGGAGCTGAGGGTCTGCACAGGTAAAACCCAGTAAAACCCAGGGCCTGCAGCTCCAAAGGGCCTGGTTCAGGTTCCTCTCCTAGGCCATGGCAGCTTCCATGGCGTCCTGAGTTTTGCCCACTCATCTGGGGAGGCTTCAGCACGTCCTGGAAGAGAATGCGGCTGCCACGCTGGTTTTGCATCTTTAAGAGACGCTCAACGCCCTGGCACGGCCCACGCCCTCGAGAGCCACATCCTCGCGGTGGCAACAGAAGCCCAGAGAGAGGTAGGTGCGGGAGGTCCCAGAGGCAGGCTGGCCAGGCTGTTGACCTCAGCCTGCACCTCGGTGGAATAATTCTGACAAATTTGGGAGCTCATGGTTGTTCGGCAATAAGGTGTTAGGGTAGAGAGAAAACAGGTGTGTTTCCGGAGTTGGTTCCGGAGGTGGTCCCAAAGGTGGTGACCGGATAAGACGCTTCAGAGTGGCTGGAGGCTGGAAGAAGGGGTGTCGCTAGGTCTGTTCTGTGCAAACACTGCTGCAGCAAGAGGCAGATCCGGGACCGCCGAGGGCACTATCTATTTTGAATTTTTTGAGGAACAACCATATTTTTTTTCCCGTAGGGTTTGCACCAACTTACTTTTCTCACAAAGAGTGCACAAGGGTTCCCTTTTCTTCACATCCTCACCAACACTTGGTAATAGCCACTAACAGGTATGAGGTGAGATCTCATTGTGGGTTTGATTTGCATTTCCCTGATAATTAATGGTGTTGAACATCCTTTTATGTACCCGTTGGCCACTTGTATGTCTTCTTTAGACAAAAACAATCTATTCAGATCCTATACCCATTTGTAAATCAGACTGTTGGGGTTTTGTATTGAATTGTATGAGTTTTTTTATCAGACTGTTGGGGTTTTGTATTGAATTGTATGAGTTTTTTGAATATTTTGGATATTATCCCTTATCAGATATGTGATTTGCAAATATTTTCTCCGAAAATGACCTTTTCACTTTTTTTTAAAAAAATGGCTTCCTTGGCTGTGCAGAAGCTCTTTTGTCTGATGTAGTTCCACTTGTTTATTTTTGCTTTTGTTGCTTCTGCTTTTGGTGTCAGACTCCAGAAGTCATCACCAAGAGCTATGTCAGGGAGCTTCTCGCCTATGTTTTCTGCTCGGAGTTTTAGGTATCTTACTTTCAACTTCAGCCTGCAAGATTTTAAAAATATATTTTATTGATTTTTTACAGAGAGGAAGGGAGAGAGATAGATAGTTAGAAACATCGATGGGAGAGAAACATCGATCAGCTGCCTCCTGCACATCTCCCACTGGGGATGTGCCCGCAACCCAGGTACATGCCCTTGACCGGAATCGAACCTGGGACCTTTCAGTCCGCAGGCCGAGGCTCTATCCACTGAGCCAAACCGGTTTCGGCAGCCTGCAAGATTTTAATTTAAAAAACAAAATTAAAAAAACAGCTATCGCCCGGCCAGTGTGGCTCAGTGGTTGAGCATCGACCTATGAACCAGAAGGTCACAGTTTGATTCCGGTCAGGGACATGCCCAGGGTTGTGGGCTCAATCCCCAGTGTGGGGCGGGCAGGAGGAAGCTGATCAATGATTCTTTCTCATCATTGATATTTCTGTCTCTCTCTCCCTCTCCCTGCCTCTCTGAAATCAATAAAAATATATTTATATATTAAAAAACAACCGGCATCAAGGGATAATAATAGTTCACATTTATGAAGTGCCAGGCACTGTGTTAAAAGCTTTCTATGCATTATCTCATTCATTGCTCAACACAACCTTATGAGGTTAATATTATAATTGGCCCTATTTCACAAATGAGGAAACTAAGGCCTTATTATCAAGTCAGTGGAAAGTCCCAGACTCCCACCCAAGTCCAAAGTCTGTCTGTGCTTTTAACCTCTTAAGCTGTCTTTCCTCTCTAATTAAGAAGTTAAGTCTGAGCAAGATCATGTGCTTATTTATACCATTGCCTTATGCCAGGAAGGGTTTCAGGCTTTGGTTACGTACCTTGTCCAAGATCACCCAGACTATAAGTGGCAGAGCCAGGAGTCAAATCTCTATCTCTCAGGCGCTGTACAAACAGAGTGAGATAGTGCAGACGTGGACCCACATCATATATTTCCTCATAAACACGAGAAAGGGAGATGGGGGCATTTCCTTTGGCTGGTTTCCTTTTTCATTCTGGTTGGATATATTCTCGGCATAGCGTTCCTTGCTCTATCTTTTGAGAAGGGATGGGTAGGACAAGAGAGTGTCAGGACTAACAGGGCTGGGTGGTAAATGCACGGGCTCCGGTGTTGAGCAGATGAAAGGAAAAGAAAGAGTAAAATGAGGAGACAAAGGAAGAGCATTAGGGGAAGTGGAGGGAAGGCAGGGGCCGGAGGAGACACTGATACCTACTCAAGAGTGAGAATAAAAATAGTTTCCTTTGGTTGTGCAAGGTTTCGGAGAAGAAAAGTTTAAAAGGTAAACACCACCAGAACAGCTATGTTTTGTTTTGTTTTTTAAACCACATATCCTACAGTATCTCAAATCAGGGACAGTCCCTCCACGTCTGAGCAGTGAACAGCTGTCAGGCCCTCTCAGGTACTTCTCCTTGGGTCTGTAGCATCACCCTTCTTCAGACAAATACTTAGTCCATCTTTGTACTTCTAAGGCCCAACCCCAGCAGGCTTGTGTAAAGCACTGTCTTTCCTTGGCAATAACTTGGGAAATAAATAGAATGAAATATATACTCATTCCTTTTTTGTGTGCCTTAAAAGTGGGACATTCATTTGCTTTCCGTTTGGATTCTTATGAAAACATTGCAGAATAGGCTCTTAATCTTTTTTTGTTTTATTTTATTTTTATGAAGGAGCCTGTCTCCATTTAGTATCCTTAACCAAACATGCTTTAGTCTCCAGGCAAGAACTGGCCATAAAGAAAATACAGTTCTTTTAATAGCAGCTCTTTAGCCCTGGCTGTGCACTAGCTATAAAGGCAAGATGCATTTGAAACCCTTCTCGTTAAAAACCACGATGCTTTACTTATGTTGGACTTGGCCACTCCGGATAATGCAAAACAGAAGTCGCTTATTGAGAGGCAAGGACAGGAAGAGGAAACGGCTGACCTGTAACCAGAGTTCTCCAAAGGTGATAGGTACATTTATTGATCTCCTGGGACCTATATTTAGTTAGCAACTTGAGCTGACTAGCACGTGCGTTGAGTAATGTTTAAATCGTTAGAGTGCACATACACAAACTTAACATCACAGGAATTTATTTCCTTCCCCATCCCACCTTTCTAGACATTTCCTTTTTCTTTTTTTAACCTACACTATGCAAATAACATTTTTTTAAAAAAATAAGCAACTTAATTCAGGCTTGTTGGATGGACTCCTGTGAAACATTGATCATCAGAACTTCTCTTTTTGCCAGCAGAACTGGACAAAGAGTTCCCTGTTGTAAATAAGTGAATCTAGGGCAAAGAAATTTCCACATCTGCTTGAGTTTAGTTTGGAACTATTCCTTCTTCCTCTAAGGGTGGCATAATGCATATATTTATGTTTTAAATATATGCATTATATTTTTAAAATGCAAGCAATTTAATCTTTTTTAAGGAGTGCAAAAACCTCCCTGAGATCATTGAAGAAGTTGCAAATTCTACAAAATAAACAGCAACACCAGGATGTTCTGGAGATACATCGAAATGCGCACA